TGTGAACTTGAGTATAAATATACACATTTTCTGCCCCCATGTCTTGAATTTGTGATCATTCTGAATGTATTTTAATAGACTGAATCATGCAGTGATCAGGCAGAGCTGTAGGTGTTTTGAAAGTTTGTTTGTTTTTTTGCGTCGTGAGAATATTGAGTAAAATAGCTCACTTGTCATGGTGTTATTTAACTGTATCATGTTATGAATAAACTAAACATTTTGAATTTTTACCTCAGTGTGTTTCGTCTGAGTTTATGTGTGCGGTCACGCTCATTTGTTCTGAAGTCTCGAGACAAACAGAGTGAGCCTCAGCAGCGCGAGCTTGTATTCTGTATTCTGCTAACTTACTGCAATTCTCTCTGATGACGCAGTAATTTACCGCGGGAAGAAAAAATCTTCGGTCTGTCCAATGATTGTAAAGTCATTAGGTCCATCAGACTTAAGATATTTTAGAGGTAATGAGACCAAAAATAATTAAGAACCATCGAATCCGAATTTAAGACATTTTAAGGCCTTATATTAGGAAAACGTTATTTAAGACATTTTAAGACTTTTTAAGGACCCGCGGACACCCTGTAATGTGTTTTTTGAACATTAAAGCATGTCAACATATTCTGTTACACCAAATACACAAAATAATGATCTTTAAAATAGCATCATATGACCCCTTTAAAAAGTCAACATGAACCTGCATTCACAATATACAATGCATTTCAGAGAATATTCAACAAGAAGAAAAAAAGCAGGACTTGGTTTTATCCATGAAGAACTGAAATACAATAAGAAGCCAAAAACAATAATTGGGCAACATAAACACCTATTGACGTCAACTGAAGAAAAAAAAGTTATTTGAGGAGTGGAGCAGGTTTTGATGAAAATAAATGATTACGATTTTTTTGTTTTAAGAATAATGTAGACTGATGAAATGTGCAAATCAGGCACGTGCACAGGTAGGGCTCAACCTGTGCAGAGCACATGCCCTTTTTGTCCTTACACTCCGAAGTGGCCCTTTTTTTTTTTTTTGTTCTTCTTCAATAAATCAATGCTATTGGTCACACTTTACGTCTGTCTGTCTGTTTTACAAATATATTTAGCGAATGAAAGATATTAAAAAGAGTTTGTGACTCAATCTTGTTGGATTCGCTCAAACTGTCAGTCAAACCTCATAACTCCACCCCCTGTCTTGACTGACTGAGTGCAGTGAACTGAAGTTCCACAGCAGAGCAGCTGAACGTCTTGCAAGGTAAATAAATATCTTCTTGTTTGTATAAGTACAGCGTTGTCTTTACGCAAGAAACACTAGTATGTCTACTGTATAAAGGCTCATGTTTTATGCATTTGAGGTCTTGAGACCGGACCTGCGGAGAGAGGGCGTTTGCCATCTAAATTAGTCATAGCCAATAGCCTACACTTAAATAGCCTGTGCATACAGTAGCCTTTCATCTTTTATCAAATGACATTTTGGCCAAACGTATTTTACAACAGGAGCGCCCATATATCTACAACAAACTTTGTAACCTGTTGATCAAAACGTAATGTGATGCTGCCGTTTTAATGATGGACAAGTTGCACATTTGCACACACATTCGCGGTTCAAAAACCCGGCCATAACTGCATTTGAGTTTGACACAAAGCGACTGAGTGTTCCTCGTCAGCTATAGGTAAAATATATTTCTAAGAAAATTCTTCTTTGATTTATGATGGCTATCTGCTGATTCACTTAATTTATTAACATTTAAATCATATTATATATGGTCACACTCACAGCATGGTTAATGTTTACGATGTTAATATGCATGTATTTGCTAGCTAGCTAATTTTTGAATGTAGTATTCTATACTCTCCGCTTATCATTAAGATGTGACCAGTAAAAAAGGGGGGGGGCTTTTTCAGTTTCAGCACATGCCCCTGAAAAGGTCTGTGCACGGCCCTGGTGCACAATAAGACTCAGGCCGTGTTTTAATCTAAACGGGGTCAATTTCTATTTCATGTTGACTTTAATATTTCTTTAGCAGTAGATCTTACCTTGCCAGAAGGAGAGGAAGATGACCGATTTGACCATGAAGAACTTGAGCATTGGCCTGTAGGGGCTGAGGAGGTCTCGGGTGGCGAAGTAGAACAGGAAAAGAGCGTAGAGAGACAGGCTGACTGAGATGTTGTAGATGATGGTCACGTACAGGTAACCACTAGCGACACTGTGGGATCCGAAACATAATTCTAAAATCAACAATTCAGTTTTGAAACTTTAAATCTGGAGTATTAGGGTAAATCATAGCCACAGATCAGAGATCACATGAGAAGCACATACTTGAAATCCCCATCACGGTATTTCCCAAAGGCCTGCAGGATGACCGTAATCATGGCCATCAGGGGTTTTATTACACAGAACTGTAAAGTGGCCTGCGAAATGAATAAACAAACAAATTACTCAAGAAATATCTGAAAACATAAAAATAAATAGAAACAAGGATTCCTCAAGGTGATCAAAAAGCAAACCTGTTTGCAAAATCGAAGGAAGCCAATGGAGTAGGTCTTGCCCCAAAGACAACATGTTCCGTAAATACAGCTGGACCTGCAACAAAACAAGATCGGTTTCACATAAATATACAAGGGGTGTTTACACTTGTAGTTCAGTTCCTTTGGTTCGGACCAAAAAGAAAATGATACATTTAGACCTGGTTCGCTTAGCGTTCACATTGTCATTTTTAACACAAACCTAAAGATACAAAACAAAAGGCATAAGGATACGGTCGCATTCTGCGTGCTGGGCTAAATGCGTTTGTTTCATGTGTGTACATGCAGTTTCTAAAATATGTAAAGGTGTCAAAACAGTGGCAGGAGGTCTCAGTCTCGGCCCACCAAAGTTCGAATGGCAGCGTTCATATTTCTTCAAATGAGCCACACTAACAGAGCAATCGCAGTTCATTTTAATCTAACCAAACCTGCAAAAGTATAAACACGCCCTTAACAAATACACCTGCAGTCTCATCAAATATCAATAAGACCATTGATTTGAGGAATTCATTGAAAAATTCTCACACAAAAGAATGACTGGAATATGACACTCACTCAATAGGTTTTCCTCTGATCTCAGCCATGATAGCGCTCTCTCCTCCAAGGTATTCATAACACAGGCTCAAGAAGTTATAGATCACAAATGCTGCAAAAAAGATGGATTGAATTAGCACTGAAATTATATCTTTATTTTACGTGGGTGATACAAAAACAGAGATTCAAGTCTGGTGATTTCTTTTGAGTCTTCTCATAAAAAAACACATTTGGTAGTAAACCTCAATAATTTAATCTCATGCGGTGGCACTGGCAGTCAAGCACAGCAGACCTTTCTGACTAAATCCCATCATCATCATCAGTGTTTCACCAAACACCTACAAAAGACTTTTGCTAAACAATACAGTGGTGCGTGGCAAAATATCCCTCGTGATGGTCTGGCCACAAAAATTACATAGATTTTCAGCAGTCTTGTCATTTTTACCAGTCATTTTCTTCATAAGGATTTCAGAAACTTCTTCAATGAAGAATACTAAGGCACGAACCGAACCAACCAGATCCAAGATGAATCACACCATTACGAACTTTGATTTGATGTAATAAAGTACACTACCCTTCAAACGTTTGGGGAGATGAGACGATTTTTGAAAGATGTCTTTTATGCTTATTTATTAGAAATACAGTAAAAACAGTAATATTGTAAAATATCATTACAATTTAAAATAACTGCTTTCTATTTGAATATATTTGATTACGGTGTACATTTATTTTAAGTAGAAATATATTACATTATATCACAACATTATAAATGTATTTTCTGTCAATTTTGATCAATTTTAACACATCCTATCTGAATAAAAAAATACATTTCTTTAAAAAATAATAACCTAGCCAGCTACTATTAGCACATTTTTAATGTAAATTATAATAATAATATTTTGTTGTTTTCATTATCAAGTGTGGATCAAATTCACAAAAGTACTGTTATGAAACATTTCCAATGTTATAATCTAAAATCTTTATCTTTATGTACTGTAGAAAATGAACAGGATTTTCACTTCCAGAACCTAACTGTTGCGCTCTATAAAATCACACAAAACAGTCTGAAACTTGGTTCCCAGCATCCCCAGTGGGTGTTAATTTATCCTTCTCCCATGCTCTGTGGAGTAGTGTATGTGTGGCAGTGGAGGTTGGAGCTCAGCTCTATATATAGCATGTGCACCCAGCAGCCACAGCTGCTCTTTGCTGCTGCCGAGTCGAGAGACAGACAGCAGTGCAGCTGAAGGTCTAGTTAGTGTGAATGACAGTTTACCGAACCCTCCCCCTCCAAACACATGGAACACATTTTTATATTTTTTTGTAATTTTGTTGTGTTCCATTTTTATTCCATTTTTTGTTGCTTTGCAGCCTGAATTTTTTTGTTTTATTCAGCTGTATTTACTCAGTGCTACTTATAACATCCAAGTGAAAGACAGAACACCAACATAGTTAGTAGAGGCATATTCCAACAGACTAAAGGCTGTAATTAAAGCAAAAGGTGGTTCAACAAAATACTGACACAAGGGGGTGATCACAGCCACAGCTGCTCTTTGCTGCTGCCGAGTCGAGAGACAGACAGCAGTGTAGCTGAAGGTCTAGTTAGTGTGAATGACAGTTTACCGAACCCTCCCCCTCCAAACACATGGAACATTTTACATTTTTTTGTAATTTTGTTGTGTTCCATTTTTATTCCATTTTTTGTTGCTTTGCAGCCTGAATTTTTTTGTTTTATTCAGCTGTATTTACTCAGTGCTACTTATAACATCCAAGTGAAAGACAGAACACCAACATAGTTAGTAGAGGCATATTCCAACAGACTAAAGGCTGTAATTAAAGCAAAAGGTGGTTCAACAAAATACTGACACAAGGGGGTGATCCGTTTTCCAACTCAGTGATTCTGTTTTTATTTTTTTCCTGACATGTTGGTGTTATATCTTTCCCTTGGATGTTATAAGTTGCACTGAGTAAATATATATAGTTTAGGTTTTACTTACAAAAATAAGAAATTTGGCATTGGCAGCTAGCTGAAATAAAATTTAGCTTTAAAATGTCGTTTTAAGTTTAAGTTAGTTTTTTTTATATATTACATTTCAGTTAAAGTTTAAGTAATGAAAATGATTTTAGTTTTAGTTCAATAGTAACCCTGCACTGTACTAGTCTGGTGTCAAACGAGCACCTGGATTATTAGTTTATCCATGTGCATCCGCTCCACTTATGTGCGATAAACATGGTTACTACGCAACAATTGCTTCTGGAAATCCCAGCTGACTACAGATCCAGAGAGCTGCTCTAGCAGGAGATGGCTATTAAACGGGCCCCAAAGGTGTCTTGTTTAAAGCTGAAAAGAAAGCCTACCCTCATAGCAATCCCTGACTGTGTCGAAGTACACATAGTACTGGTCATTGGTAAAGAAGAGAAGGCTGAGCCAGGAGTCAAAGGCGTAGATGGGTACGATGAAAAGGATGCGCACTATGTGCCTCTGCTCTTTGGGAGAGCTGTAGTAACGCAAATGCATGTAGATCTGCAAAAAACAAAGACAAACACATTGAAATACACTGACGAGTTTTGATTCTCAGGCCCAGCTGGTTTAGGGATTGTTTACTTGGTGGCAGGTGAGTAGAAGTGCCGTCCACACAAAGAAGCCTGACACTGCCTGGGCCGTAGTCGTCATGAGGAAAATGGGCTGCTCTGGAGTGAGCAGAGGAGCTTCTGGGAGCCAGGAGATGTTGGGCCCAGTGGGGGCCATTGTGGCTAGCGAACCAGGAGCCATCCCGACAACTTCCTCCCCAAAATGAACAGACAATGGCACGTCACGTCTCAAAAGCTGTGGCAATAGAGATTGGGATGTTAAAATCAGTGGGGATCAAACATGCTGAAGAAGGGTGTGTAAAGTAGAAATGTGATGCCATGAAAACGAATCAAGAGGAAAGGAAAGAGGAGTGTGAAACAGTATGACGTCACCACGAATCATTTCACAGTAAGATGGTGCAAGATAATGTGGGCAAGCAAAGAAATGAAACTAAATTCAGCCAGAGATTAAAGTCGCAATGAAACGGAAGTAGTAACAGATCTTTTCTTGATATTGTGATGCACATCCGGGTAAAATGGGTAAATGAAAAAAATAGTAGGGTTCTAACATCATTTGTTGATTGGATGGAGGCAAATCTGAATGCGAATTTGAGGTCAATTGTAAGAAAGGGTCAGGGTTTAAGCAGACTAAACAATTGTAGAAGTCCGGCAAACATCACAAGAGAGAAGTCTATGGTTTCACTGGAAGATTGATTTATAATATTTTGATTAAAAATTACAAGTTCAACTTTTTCATGAAACATATGCATGGATGAATCATTCACCATAGGATTAATAATATGCATTTAGAAAATAGATAGGTTGACTTTTCATTTCATGCTGACTTCAATGAAATGGCATGAATATTTTTAGCTAATAATTTTCTAGACATGTTCTACAATGATTTGCACTGTATGAAAACTAGTTGCACATCTGTTTACATAATTTCTAAAATACTTGAAACAAAAATTAAGACGTGTGGCAGTTTTCAGACATGAATAAGGGTCACACTGTACATAAACACTAACTGTAACTAAAACTTTTAAAAAGGGTCAAGGACAAATTAGGTTTGCAGAAATTGTGGATTTAATTTTTATGAAGTATGAAGTATGAAGAACGGGAAATTATGCTGATCCATATGTCTCAGCATCTTAGTGTGTATCTCACATCTTATTAAAAGTGGCCATCTTCACGGTTTACACCAACTTAAAGCTAAAGTCATGGTTTTTTGACCAGGTACTTTAATGTTTGGTCATATTTACTCACTCTAATGTTATCGAAACCTGTAAAACGTTCTTTACTTTTGTGTTCATTGGAAGATGTTATGACATTCGGAGTCATTCATGTTCATTGTATTGAAGAAAAGACAAAATGGTCCACTCTGGCGAGAGAAAAAAAAAGTCATATAGGTCTGAATCAACATAAGGGGTCAGTAAATTACACAGTTTTAATTGTTGAGGGAACCGTAAATCATATGTTGAATGTATTCAGCGTTCACTTTTCGTGTTATACGTTGACCTTATTTGGAAGAGCATCATAAATTTAGTTGGGTCACATAGTTGAAGTTCGCCCTAAAATTAGTAAGGAAACAAAATATCTACAGACTAGATAAACGAGCAACTTACCAATAACATAAACGTAGATTTAAAACCATTTGCCGTGCACAAAGGAAAACAAACGAGAAGCAATTCGGCCTTAATTCTTCAAAGCCATCGCTGCTGCCCGTCATCCATGTTTATATTCCAGCGTCGTTGATATCTGCTGGAAAATCTGCGCTCCGTCCTTTTATATTTGTTCCCATGTAGTAATTCACCACGTCTTTAAACCGCTTACAGTGTATTCACGACTGTGCTAAAGGACTTTATGTACAATCTTAGGTGGACTGCTGTTGAAAGTCAGTTCCTTATTCTCCCCTTGCTGTTGAATAAAATCTCTTGCGGATTAGTTTAACGGGGATAAAAAGTGGAAAGCGGCTGTGAAGTCTGCTACAACAAGACGCGGCTTTTTTTCTAAAATGGGCTGTAGCTTTAGAAACTTCAAAATAAAAGTCATTACTCCAGCGACGCAATTTACAGTAAATAATGCATTTTTAAGAATTATGTAATACTGAACGTCGTTTGCTAGAATCATACAGATAAATCAAAATAAATACTTCGTATTGTTTAATAAATAGTATTTACTCATTTGATCCAAATTGATTCCTAACTGAATGAGCTCATGTACATTTTTCCTAAAAAAGGAACATTACATGTACATTATTCCTTTTTTTAATTGTATGTCAGAATTTCTCAGCTGCTCAACAAGTCTCGATTGCAAGTTGCAAACTTGCAAATTTGTATTAGTAATTAAGATTGTATATATTTACTTACTATAAGGCAGTTGTTGGGAAAAGGGAATTATAATCCAAGAATAGATGCATAAATATGTTTTTGTTTTTCTTTTACTTCGTTTCATTTCATGCAACAACACTTTGAAATGTACTTTTATGTGAATCAATTCAGTTACAAAATGTGTCTGTTTCCCCACTTTTCACGTTTACGTACATGTAAAGTGTTACATAGCACTTTTTTTCAATGTTTACATGTATTGTGATCTTGATTTATAAGACAACCAACGCAATTTTAATAATCGATTAATAATCCTTTCAAAGGGGCAAACTGGAATTAAACACCTTTAGTCGTGAGTTATTACACCAGCTGTGCAAAAATGCTTAGTGTTTAAAATAGTTAAATAAGTTCACAAGGTTCAGTAAGCTGAAACAATTATACTGTTGATAGGTGTGTTTATTTATAAATGAGGTTGTCATGGCTAATGTCAATTTACACCACATTGTTCAGCTGTGTAATTGTAAGAGTGGAATTCAGGCCTTTAATAATGCTCAAATTGATCTTTAGGTTAGTTCACTACAGCCCATATTTATATCAATATCTCCAACAATTCAAACGTCATCTGTTCAATGTGCAATCTTGAAATATCCATTCAGTGTTGTCTACAGCCCCAAACACCAGTTTGGCTGGAAACAACATTCTTGGAAATTCTTAACTTTTGCGTATTTCATACTTAAAATGGAAAAGATGGTTCCACGAAACCTCATACGTCAGTAAGGTGTCAACATACAACACTTTTTGTGCAAGGATACATTTGTTACACTCTATCAATATTAAATTTTAACTTTACAATCCAACAAGCAAGTCCTTCTTTTTCCCGGCATTTCAGAAAAAATAGAACAAACCAGAACCTTCATCAGGCCGCAGGTAAAAATTATCTTTTCCACTTTCACTGTTTGAGCCTTGAGTCTTGCGATCCTCGTTAAACTGTATCTATCCACTGTCCACATGCGTCTGTATCTTCGATGTCTCATTCCAACAGAAACAACCTGCAGTGCGTGAGGACGGGGGAGCACTTTGTCCATTACAAAAATGTGGTTCCTTTCTTTCTGATCTTGCCTCTGTCACACTCCCGTTTTACATAGAAAGATGAATATAAATGCTTTAGGGGAGTTGTCTGTTGTAATCCTGCAAAATGAAGCAAATGTAAACAATTTAGCAACAAGTTAATTATATTAGAATGTTGGAAAAATTGTACTTTTCAAATACTGAAACCTATTTATTATGCAGTATAGTAACTGAGTCAAATAGGCAGGTTCGAGATAAAGAAAAATCTAACATATACTATCATTAAAATTTGGAGATTTTTACATGTTTTTGAAAGAAGCCTATTTATTTGATCACAAATACAGTAAAAACAGTACTATAGTGACATATTATTTAAAATAACTTTTCAGTTTTAATTTATTTTCAAATGTAATTTATTCCCGGCAAAGCTTAACTTTCAGTAACCATTACGCCAGTCTTCAGTGTCGCATGATCCTTCAGAAATTATTCTAATGCTGATTTGGTGCTCAAGAAACATTTCTTAATATTATTAATGTTGAAGACAGTTGTGCTTCTTAATATTTTGTGGAAACCGTGATACTTAAAAAAAAATAAAAATCTTTGAATAGTTAGTTCAAAAGAACAGAATATGAAATAAAACTTTTGTAACATTATATATCTTTACTGTCACTTTTGATCAATTTAATGCATCGTTAATGAATATTTAATCATGAATTATTAATTCATACATATCAAAACTTTTAAGGGGTTGTATCACTGAACTAACCATCCCTAACCCTATTCTAACCGTCATAAAATGTCACATTGATAGACATATTGAACTTGACAAACAATTATGAGGATCTGCAGGGGTCATCTCTCTGATGTCATTTCCTGTTTTATGTTTTTTTTTTTCTCCACACGTTTCTGTATGTTGGTCGTATCATATCACTTTGATCTGGTGGACAATTTTTTTATATTTATATAATTAAATTATAACTGCCTTACTGATATTTTTAAGAAATAATAAGAGATTTTGCCAAAAACGTAATGTTTTTTTTCTTTATTATGATATCAGGACCAGTTGTATCTCCCTGACATAACATAACGCTCAAAAATATCCAGATTAATTTTAAAATTCAGCAATTAAAACCATGCACATCATATAAGAGGTGTATTGTGTGTATGAGAAGTCATTATGTGTATGAATTGCATTTCAGTGCATTTGTGGATAAACGAAAAGATCCACACAAAAAATCACTAACCTCCTAAAAACAGTAAATGACAGAGAACTTGCAGAGCTCATTTCCCCATGTGTTCGAAAGGAACGCTGACCTGTGTGAGAGAGACAGAGAAAGGTCAGAACAAAAACAAATATCAGGGAATTAAGTAAATAACCAGTACGTGAAAGGAAACCTGTGGGGGAGTTATGCGGATCTGATCGTGACGGAGAGGGAGGTCAGGGGAGGCATTGGCAGGAGCACCGCGGTGCAGCCGTAAACACACTCTCCTTTCCCGCTCAGCTCCTCGGCCTGCTCTTGGAGATCCGTTCCCTGAGAGACAAATCAACAGGTAAGTTGTAAGTGCTGATTTCAATAACCAACAGCACAGAAGGTCAGGCGGGTGCGGTTTAATAAGGAAGAGAAACCACATACTTCATAAATAACCAGCTCATAAATAGAACAGACATCAATAACACCTCCGGTCATCCTCAGACTTACCAGACTGTGGCACACGGGAGGCAGGTGTTGAGCTGGGGGGGTCTGGGCCGTTGCGCACCCTGTTAGGGGCCGGGAGGTTGGGGCCAGAAGGCACAGCACGAGCCGCAGAACCCGGCGGTCCACCTCCGGTCCTCTCATCCCTCTCCTCTCCCTCTCCCCTCTGCTCCTTCTCTTTATCTTCTGCTGTCCTGCTGGAGCCCTGACACAGTCAGAAAAACCCACAAAGTGAGCAATATAATGCACATTTGAACTGCACTGCAATAAATAATGCAAAATGTTTAAAAAGCATACAAATTTCAGCATGTTCCAGTCAAACACATAGTCGTATGAAAATCCCTGTCTGTGGAAAAGATTCCTGAACAGCTGTCTCAGGTAGGAGTAGTCAGGTTTGTCATCAAACCGGAGAGAGCGGCAGAAGTTCATGTAGTTTGAAAATTCGGCTGGAGATGTATTAAAAAAAGAGATTAGAGTTAAATGAGAAATTTAATTTCATATGATTTTCTAGCTGATCAAGTCGCATCAACTCACATGGATAGCCCTTGCAAAGAACCTCAATGGGGGTTGACATCTTTTTCTCACTGATTCGCTCATACTTTTGTCTTTTTGTGGCCGCTTTAAGGCCTTGCCAAGGCAGAGAACCCAAGTTAAAATACATAAGAACATAGCCAAGGGACTCGAGATCATCCCGTCGAGATTGCTCTGTGGAAACAAGGTAAATTTAGAATAACCCAAAATAAAGAGTCCATTTTTATCAACAGAATGCATTTCAGTGGCCCTCTGGTGCCCTTACCAATGCCCAAGTGAGTGTTAATGGAGGCATAGCGGGCAGTGCCAGTCAAGTTCTTATTCTCACGATAGGGGATGTGCTGATGTGTGCGGGCGTCACGATACTTCTTGGCCAAGCCAAAGTCTATGATGTAGACCAGGTTTCCCTTCTTGCCAAGCCCCATCAGGAAATTATCAGGTTTAATGTCTCTGTGAATGAAGTTCTTGGAGTGGATGTACTCGATTCGGCTAATCTGGAAAAAATAAACAAGAAACAAATTTAAATCTCAAATGTATAATATCTATATTTATATACATTTTTACTAATTCTATTTTTTCTGGGTTAATATTATGTTTTAGCACTACATATTTACAATCTGTTTTATTGAGGAGATTTTATATAGCTTTTCTTATGAATATTCCCTTCCATTATACAAGTAAAAAATTTAATTCTGCAGCCAGGCTATTCAAACGATAATATATGACTATATAACTTTCTATAAACTTATATACATTTTATATTGTCTTTTTATATAGTAAAAACCTGCATTTACGACCCTAGAATTTATTTATGAAGATAGAATTCATTTATGAAGACAGTTGCCATGGCATTGCTATAAAATTGCTATGATATTTTTGGAGTTTTGAGCGTGTTACTATGCGGTATTCTGGGTGGTTGTTTACAAATCTTTATGATATTCCGATCCCTAGATATGGCTCAGGTCCCTCTTTCAATATAAAGCTATAGGATTTTTGCCCATTTTCTCCACCAAGTCTTATCACTTATAAAAGTAATACAACGCTCCCCTCGATAAGACACAAAGTGTCGTGTCTGTAGCAAAAAGAGTGTAAGACAAGGGGTTGTTAAAATAACTAACCCCAAGTATGAGCAATAATATCTTGTTTATATACTTTCAATGCAATTACCATCTGGTCTGCCAGCAGGAGGACTGTTTTAAGTGTGAATTTCCTTGAGCAGAAGTTGAACAGGTCTTCCAAGCTTGGACCCAGGAGCTCCATCACCATGACATTGTAGTCCCCTTCAGCACCACACCATTTGATTGCGGGAATACCCACTAAGTTTGAAAGAGGATTGAAGAGACATGTCTTGAAACCCATTCGCAGCATCAAAAAGA